ATTGAATAGACTTGGACTGATAAAACCTGATATCAGCATACTGGTTCAGTTGGTTATTTAAGATAAGCCAGATAAATTTAGGTATGTATGCCTTAGCAGTTTAAAGAGTCGTCACTTAGTCAGCCACCCATATCATCTATGGCTTTGCTCAATAGAGAGTTAAAATGAAAGTACTTTGATGAATACGATCATGATAATAACATGTTTTAAAGAAATTATGACATTGTGGAACCTCCGGGGTTGAGATATTCAAACAACATAGGTTGTTGCATAAGTTATTGATGACAGTTATCCTTTAATGTGTTACACAGGTCCAATTTAAATTGCATGCAAAGAGCAGTTCTGACTGGAACTAAGCTAACGTCATTCAGTAAAATTAAACACCTTTGTAGAAGCTATATCAACACCTCATTTGCAGTAAGATCAAGTGAGATCATAGGACAATTAGTGAAAAGAGATAACGTAAAACCAACCGGAGGACATTTTCATTTGGCGAGTGATGACGAAAACTGGCTGACCACCAGTTGTCAGCAAGTGCTTGGCTGGCAGACTCTGTCGTTGTCCATTGACCATGGACTGGACGGGTAGACTTAATTCAGCGGGGAGCTGTAGATTTGGCAGAGGCTTATTGGCATGGCGACTTAGCAAAGAACCAGAGGCTGAGGAAGAGGCCGCCCTGGAAGCGAGTGGTGGAGCAATGGATACGAACTTGGCGCGACTGGTGGGACAGAGTAAGCCAACAGAAGATTGGCCATAAGCCGAAGTTGATGGAGGTTTATGGCTTGCCAGGTTCATGGTGGCCGTCTCAGTGACCAAAGTGGGTCGAGAGACCGAACTCACTGGATGAAGTTGAGTACTCGTACCTGGACAGGAGGCAGGTGGGATAAGTATACGAGACTGGATGGGCTGGAAAAAAGAAGTTAAAACAATTAAAGATAAACAAATTAGATTAGATTAATCCTAGGATTAACCGAGTTAAGAATCTCTACACTCTGTCTCGAATATCAAAATACAAATATAAGCCCAGAAGGTATTAGCACGGTATGTAGAGAACTGCTAGGCGAAAAACTCGAGTGTACACGAAGTTGCGAAAGCTTACATCAATTGTAAACCGGTAGAACCGATATTGGAATTATTTATTAGACCTTGCTCATAAAGAATAACACTTGTAATAAACCAACAAAGAAGTTCTGAAAACTGAAGTTACAAGCCAACCCATATATACTTGCTAGCAGCATGCCCAATTGTACTTGCAAATTCAAGTACATGAATCGGGCGTCTCATTAAAACAAAAATGGAACGATTAGTATTGATCAGATATATTTATTCATATATGGGTTTCTGTAAGC